TCAGCAGTGCCAGCACTTTGATCAGGGCTATTAGAACACATACCCAACAAACTGATAGCAGTGCGATTCCTCAAACATTACAGAGAGCGTGGGCAGTATTTATTTACTGTTCTTTCATTTCTCCCCCACCTCCTCCTTGTTTCTGCCTATTCAGAAAGAAAATATGTATATGCATGTGTACAGATGTACCCACCACAGCAGACCCCATGAAAGCCTGGTCCCTTGTGTTTTGTTTTTCTGTCCGAGGCTGAGCTTCCATATGGATTCTCCAATGCCCAGAAAGGCTCAAGGCACTTCCATCAGTGGGGCATCACCCATGTTGTCATCCTCAATTTCGCCCCACTATTTCCATGATGCCTGTAAAGGCATCTCTAAGTCCTTTCCCCCTCTCCTCTGGGTGAAACTGGCTGGCAGATCCAAAAACTGCAGCAAAGAAAGGGAAAAACCAGGCAGGCAGAGCTGTACACACACACTTGCATGTGCACAGAGGCACGGCGCGATCACACGCCTTATTTCTTTAGGAAATCATATTAAAAAGCAATCGACTCTTTGCCAACTGTAACCAAGTCTGAACCATTAGCTGGCACTGTCTCTACCCGAGGAAGAAAACCTCATTTGGAGAATGCAAGTAGTTTTTAATCTCAGAGCCTGGAAAATAGTTCATCTCAGCAAAACGACAAGTGCCCTTGTCTCTGGATTTTCTCTAGCATCTTTCTCCCTATATCTCAGTAAACTTTTTTTTTTTTTTTTTTAAACGTTGTGCAGCACCAGAAATACATCACAGAAATATGCATGAGCACACACAATCTTTATCCCTAGGTACTTGCAAATGTAACAGAAAACAAGCAAAAGGAGCATATATTTCAGTCCATCAACTTAAGCACTTACACAGCCTCCATCGCTGTGCCATCCAAACATTTTGTTAGTCCCAGGACTTTTCTGTGCCGTCATTATTGTTTTATGAAATTTCATTTTTGTTAGTCCCAGGACTTCCATGTGACTTTTTTACCCTACTATGAAATTTCATTTCCTGTCATCTGCTGGGATTAAACTTTGATTGGAAGACACAGGTTTACAAGGCTTGAAGTGACAAGCCTGACCCCAGAAGGTGAGGTGTGAAACTCTTCACCTCCGGCAGGCAGTACGGGAACACGGGACGCCAAATCCAGGGCTGGAGCAAGCGATGACTTAACACGGGATGCCAGGCTCCACACTCCCATGCAGTCTATCCCACCTGTAAAACCCATTCGCCTGGGACACAGCAGTAAACCGAAGAGCCCTGACTCCCAATTTCTTGCTCTGTAAGATCCTATTCTTCTTCCCACAATAATACAAGGCTTCAAAATGCATCTCAGCTCCCCTCTGGATACATCACCCTTCAGCAAGTGGTTGCAGCCCATGTCTGCAACTTCAATGTGTCTCAGTTTTCACATTCACTTTTCCCAGTGGTTTCCCCTCCGCTGCCTCTGTGTTGCCCACGTAACACCACATTTCACAAAAAGGCGCTTTGTTTGCCATTTTCCTGCTGCCTCCACCACCCCAGCCCCAGTGATCTCCCAGCCCACACCCCCCAGCTGCTTTAGCTCACCCCTATTCCCCCCAGCTACAGGAGCCAAAGTCAACAGGCAGCCAGAAAGGGGATCTGACCTCTGCCATCCTGTGTTAATGAATGCCCTCTCCGGAGGGAGAAGGGAAAGGCAATGGGGATGGCACAGAGCCAGCCTCTGCGAGCTCAGCCAAGGGATGCCAAGGAGCCGGGAGCACAATGTGTCAGAGCCCCCTTCACAAGGACCTTTTGTGGATGCCACTGCTCCAGCCCATTGATGACGCGCTTGACAGCGTAGGCTTTTCCACCGCTTGGCTGTTGGCTGCCTCAGTAGCCAGGTCGTAACCAGAGCGGCAGCTCTGACAGGACTCTTGTGCAATGCTCTGAGGGCATGCTACCAGCCAGAAGAGGACAAATGTGGACACATCATCCTCTCGTAGTTCTCCCCCAGCACATGTACCCTGAGACACAGTCACTTTCTTTTCAGCAAAGGCAGCTGGGATGTTCCACACTTGGCAGCCCACCAGTCCACTTTTAAGACTGGTGGGCAACACATCACGTTGGCCCAGGGGGACTTCCCAGCCCAACATGACATCCAACCTTCTCACTCCAAGTTCACCTCTCTCTCACTAGGAGATAAGCCATCTGCTTAACACCAGAGATGCAGAAGGATAAAGATGTACTCAGAGAGACTCACAAGGTGCTTTGGGTAACAAGTCCAACGCAAGCACACAATGTTCTGCGTCCATGACAAAAACAACAGGAAAAACCTGCTCCTGCAGGTCTGCCAAGCCAGGATTTCGACAAGTGGCAACATATCAGCTGGCGATGAGCAGCTCCTGATTCAGGGAACGATGAACTTTCCCAAAAAGACTCTGGTTTGGATTTTTTTTCTTAGCAAATGATAACACGTTGGGTGCCATACCGGATGGCTCCTGCCCAAGAATTAACTGATAATGAGGGACCTAGAGGAAAGTGCCAGCTAAAGGAGATTTGGAGGTGGTTGCCAGCTGCCCTGTCCCATACAGGGTGTCAGAATAAGTTAGAACCTGTACATGAGCCCCTGGAAAAGCTTCTCAGGACCACGCAGTAAAATGATTTGATGATCTGGACACGGGCATCTCCCTATGAACAAAAAGCCTCCAGGGAGGAGAAAAAGAACAACAGCCCATTAGTGAAGTGAAAGAGGAGACACTGGGGAAAGAGACATTCAGCATACACAGGACAAACACAAGCTTCAAGGCAGCACTGCCAGATTAGGACCACCTGCAACACCTCAGATGACACCCCAAAGGAGAGAGCAAGGCTCTGGACTTACGGACCTGCTGAGCAGCAAGGAAGCAGAGCTTAGAAACTGCATTTTGGAAAGCATGGAGGCGACTGTGACATTTCTTGTGGAGGTGCGAAGTCAGTCAACAACAGCTGCCAGGGCAGACCATAGTTAGGGTTTCACCAAACATCCTAGCCATTGCAGGTGAATGGAAGAGTTGCATTTGTGTTGTGGATGAAAAAGTGGAGACGTTTGGTAGCAAGCCTGACGCAAAGAAGGGAGACAGAGGCTAAAGATGCAAAGCCTGGGGGCATGGTAGTTGACAATGGCACTATGGCTAAAGAAGAAAGTGTAGGCAGAAGAGACACTAGGGAAAAGCATGAGGCTCAGAGCAGGCAAGGACATGTGCTAGCAAGACTGTCCACCAGGGCAGGAGGACCTGCAGCCTCCAAGGGGAGCAGAGCTTAGGCAGTATGAGTAGCCTGCCCATGGTGGTGCCTATGACACTTGTGACTCATTAAAGAGCTATCTCTCTGGTATTAAAGGCGTATTTAATTTCTGCCAAATCCATCTATCCAAGCAATGCCATCAATAAAACTTTTTTTGCAGAATATCCACTAACACCGTTATCCAAACACCTCTGAACACATGCACACATCTGTTCACAAAGACTGGTTACTCACATAAGGTTCACTCCTCTGATTCTTCCACTAGGGTCAGAAGTTACTTTTCTCTTTTATGTTTGTATCTCTAAGTCACATCAGTGGCAAATGCCCAAGCACTACCAAAGTGTTCTGACAAATCCCTCCAGAAGGCACGTAATGCCATCCCAATTTTACAGATGGGGAAATTAAAGTAGAGACAGAGGTTAAGACAGCTAATTGCCTACGGACACTAAGTGAGTCAGTAGAAGAAGCTGGGAATTGATCCCAGGAACCGTGTCTTCCATTCCTCTACTCCACCCACCCATCAGTACACCCTACCAGATGGTTCTTATCATTGGACATATGGACTAAATATTGCTAAGTTGGTGTAGAATATTCACTATTTAATTAAATATCTTGTCTCTATCTCCATAGGACGCACAGGGGAAACTCCAGCCAGAATCCCATCTGGACCCACCCAGGAAATGTCTCCATAAAGCCGACAAAGCCCTAGGCAAGCACAAGAAACATTCCCAAACCCATCAACCTGCCCTGCCACACAGACCCCAGGAAGGCCAGGAAATAGGCTGCAACTCAGGACTCTCAGAAGCTCATGTTTGTCAAAGCCTGGCTTCAAACAGTGTATGCATGAGCCACCAATTAGGCTGGGAACTACTTTGTCATGTGAAGGCTCTTCCTCCATCCTTTACTGGGCACCACCAACGCTGCCCAACTGGAGATACCAGTAGTCACATAAAGCAGATGGCACAGAGTCAGCCGCTTTCTTCTGGCATTAGTTCTATCGCATCACAGCGCTGTGCTGGTGTTGGTAGGACAGAGAGACCAGTTCTGCCTGGCAAACATCAGACGCCTTCTCGCTTTCCAATCACTACCAAGGACACTTGAAATCGCTCCTAAAGTGGTTATTCATAATGGAGAGGAGGAAACCTTCCAACAGAGAGGCAGCAGAAAGAGACCTTCCACATCACTGAAAGACAGGTCAGCAACTACTTTACCGGCATGGACCTTACAAACTTACAGCAGCATCTTGGTCCCCATTCATAGACAGGCACAAAATGGGTGCACCTGCCCTTCCAACAGAACCCAAACCAATTTCACATCCTTCTGTTCCCCCTTCATACCCAGCACTCTGCACCCAGTGCGATGCAAGGGGAACCCCATGCATCATGAAGTTTGCAAAGAAGATTTCACCCAAGAACATGCTCTCCTGAGTACAACTCCCTCAACGCATGGCTGGAGGGATCAGGCTCAAAGCTCTTCTGAGCAACCTGTAGATGCAGTTATGTGCTGATACAGAAGCCATGCGTACCTCTGCCCAGCAGAAGCAGATGAGAACCACCAGCCTGTACATCTCTGTCACTCTCAACAAACAGAAGAGGGCTAGATGACATTCTCTTTAGAAAGCTTTGTACCAATACTGGCAATGTAGGAATAAAACCACACCACCTTTCCACGTGTGCTATAAGAGCCGGGCAATCCTGGAAGGTGCCTCCTGCTAGAGGAAAGCGACTGCACGTACCTTTCATCCCAAACTTGGACCGTCGGCCATACTTGTTGATCATAATAAAGAGGACGACCAAGAGGACACAAGCAAAAGCTGCCAGCCCAACCGCTATGGAAACCTGAAAGGAAAAAGTCTTAGGGTCAAGACAGAGGAATTTAGGAGTCTAGACTGGAAACACAGCACCTCCTTGCCCATTTAACATCTCTGTAGGCTCATGCTATCTGCTACAGCCCCGCGGATATCAGCTGTGGAGGAAAACACAAGCTAAAGCACAGGGCTCTGGAACATCCTGGAAGCATCACAGGCTGTTTTCAGGACTGGGAGGTCTGGGATCTCCCTATCAGCGATGTTGTTCTGGCACCAGTTCTCCCCAGCCTCTCACTCCTTATATCTGCAGGGAAGGAGGTCCTCTGCTCCAATGCCTGGGCTCTCCCTTCACTGCACTACATCATGAGCCTCCATTTCTGATATCACCACCGTGCCATGACATCACAACACTAAAACTATACTAACCTGAGCAGAGCACACACAGGAGCAGCAGAAAATTCTTTAGAAAGAGCAACACTCTCTCCATCTAAACATCCCTCAGGACAATGAATGAGGGAAAATAACACACCACAAAAACAAAACAGAAGAAATTAAATAGAACGGGTGGGGGTTTTTTCCCCAAAAAGATTTCATTTTCCTAAAGCCTCTAATGGTTCCCTAATTCCTGTAATTTTTAGCAGTAAATATTTATACTACAACAGTGTCCAAAGTCCTTCCCTGGAACTGTAGTTTCACTGTGTCAGTGTACAAGCAGAGGAAAGAAAACCTCCTTGCCCTAAAGGGTTTACAATCCCAGGCTTATTTTAATATTTATGAATATTTATTCCTTCAAGTCTTTGCTTGAGATACTTTTATTGCATTGATGTAAACAACAATTTCTTTGGCATTTGTCCAATTGTTCTCCTGTACTGGGTCTTGTGATGCACTTAGACTTCACTTCCTTTTACAAAACTGTATTCTGCTGTAATAGAATATACATCATTTAACCAAGAAAAAGTAATTTCATTTTGCAACCCTTTTCCCTGCCCTTGATACATTAGCTACAATATTTTAAAATTTTTTACTTTACCACACACTATTTTCATCCCCCAGCTTGTTTTCTGTGCTTTATATTTAATAATCAGTGCACATTATTACGCCAGTCTCCCTGTTTAAAGCTTTCACTTTAGTTCTAGGAGGTTTTCAGTTGGATGAGAACTGAAACCAAGGTGGATTGAGTTTTGTTCATTCTGTTGATGCCGGGTGGGTATCAAGATCTTAAAAATTCCACAGAATTTGAGTAATTGTGAAACATGCTAATTTTTTTTTTCCCCCAATACACACATTTTTTCCTTTTTCTACCTCGATTCTGCAGAAGAAAGACAATGTGGAGATCTGATACACTGCAGGTTTTCTTTCCTTTTTCATTTTTGGCATGCCCTGCAGAGCAGGAGAGAGGGCAAACTGGCATTGACAGAATTGAACCAAGCTAAATCCGAGCCCCTCGCAGGGCTAAACTTAACAGCTCAATAATAGTCTGAAACAGACAATTGCCTGTTTGTCTGTTCTCTGGGTGCTACTTTTTTAGAGTGAGAATTTCTGACTCTGCCAGCAGCAACTTCATAGGATGCCTTATTTTCAAAGAGCTCCCTGGTTGCACACTGCAGACCCAAGAGGATCAGATGGTTCATGTCAGTATTTTACTTGCCTGACACAAGCCACAAAATCCTTCTGATTGTTGTCTTGAGTCATAAAGGAAGAGATTTTCCTTGCAAACATCTCAAAACAGCACAGGAATGTAAATACTGAGTCATCAATAGCAAGAAATGCGTGCAAAACAGTTCTGTAGAGAAGAGGACAGGACTCACCCCAAAAGTGTCCTCCTCTGGTTTGTGGGTCACAGTGATCGGTGGGGTGGGACTCACTTCATAATCACCAACTGAAACCAAAACACCAAAGACAGAAGATTCAACATGGCTCCCACGGGACTCCCAAGGCACCAGCACATCCCCAATGGCAGTGCCTGACCTAATGAGATCCAGTTCACCCCTAAGAGAGGCTGCAACTTTCTACTTCAGAAGGTATCAAAATCAACCATCAGGGAGTTCCCTGTGCACATCAGCAGAGAAAATACCATCCAGGACAACACTGATATCAATCCAACCTTACAACTGAGAAACATTTGGATGCCTGGTGTCCTACGGTGGGTGGCCTCCACCCCTGAGCCATCTCCTAGAGTTTTCAGAAATCTACTGGGCTAAGTAGGGTTAAAACACAAGACTGACTCCAGCAGAACTTGATCTGAAGAAATAGTTACTTGGATGTTTGGGGGTTGGGGAGCGGGGAGTGGGTGAAGAAAAGTATCTGTTGAGGAAACATTGCAGAAGCTGAGTCCTCCTTTTCATCCCAGTCCACACTAGAGAGCATATTGTAAACAGGCCAATTGCTTTGGGGACTGGCCAGCCCGCATCTAGTTAAGACCCCTTCTGCTACACCACAACCAACCATCATTTTCCACTATAGGACTTTCTTCAGGACGTCCCTAGAGCGAAATGAGCATCTCCTGGACTCTTGAGATTACCCAACTGATCAGAAGTTCCCGGACCATCTTGCTTATGCATGGGGAAGCCAGGGCTTTGTGCCACCTCTGCCAACTTCCTTTTGACTTCCTGATTTTTCCTCCAGGGGAACATAAGTCACAGAGGGGCAGGGGGAACCACAAAAACAAAACACCCACAGTATGCAAAGGGCAAGGAGACACTTACTTGAGACAAAGTTGTCCGTACTCTCTGTGGAAAGGACAAAGAGAGAAGCAGCACAGTTAGTAGCACAGCAAAGGAAGAGTGGTCTCATTCCCAACCCACCTCAGACATACTCCACCACCCCAAAGAGCCCAGGAAATGAACTTTTCATGTTTTGTCTGTTGGGCAACTGTAACTGGAAATTGCAGCGCATGTGCCAGCAGGGCATGCTGGAGCTCAGGCTAGAGAGCACAGAGGTAACTGTGCAGGGCCTTGGGCTGAAACGAGGGGAGAGATGTTACTGCAAGGCCAAAGTGGAGAACAATTAGCAGCATGCTAACTAAACTTTTGAACAGACACTAAATGATCCTGCTTTCAGCAGGCAAGCAAAGCTTGACAGACACATGGGCCTCAGCAGGATGGACGTGGAGGGAAAAGAAGCAGATTTTGCCTTGCATGGCAGTGCTCACCCAAGGGCAAAGTCCTACAAGGATGAGGACCAACTCCCAGGGAGGAGACCCCAACTTGGGGCAGGGGGTTAGAGGACACCTTCTCTGACCTCCTTTTCATAAGCCAGTCATAAAAGCTAATATCATCCAAACTGGACTTGGAGAGTGTGGCTGTCCTAGAGCTGCCTCTTGCCCAAGACAGCCACACCAGTCCCTGCTGTCAGCCTTTTGACTGCTCCAGTCTATTCAGTAAAGCTCCTTCGGCTCCAAAGGCGGTCGAGGCCCCAGATGATGAGGTCTAAAGCTCTTGGTGACACTCAGTTTACATAGCATGAGAACAACGTCAGCTTTCAATTCACTCGCCCATGTAAGAAATTGAGCCCGATATTAACTGGAGTTTACACAGCTTTGCTGGCAGAGGGCTCCTGGAAGGATGCTGAAATGTTCATGCTGAGGTATGGGTGAGGTTTGGAAGGGAAGCGTAAAACAACCCCCGGGTGACAAACATTGCTTTCCAAACCTGGGGAAAAAAAACCTGAAAAAATATTTTTGTTTCAAGTCAAGCAGAAGAGTAAATTTCCTGGGCTTTTTCT